ATCAAGGAAAAAGAGGAGGCACAGATAATTAACATCAGGGCTGAGAAAGAGAACTTTATTACAGACAGGGCGGATGCTAAAACAGTAAGAAGTTACTATTCATAACTACATGCCAATAACTTTGAAAATTTGGGAAAAGGCAAATTCCTAGCAAAAATGTAAATTCATAAAACAGATTCAAGATGTAAAAACCTGAATAGTGCCGGTCACCGTTAAAGAACTTATATTAAAAAGTCTCGCCCTGGCCGGTTTGGCTCAGTGGATAGAGTGTTGGCCTGGGGACTGAAAGGTCCCAGGTTCGATTCCGGTCAAGGGCATGTACCTTGGTTGCGGGCACATACCCAGTGGGGAGTGTGCAGAAGGCAGCTAATCGATGTTTCTCTCTCATCGATGTTTCTGGCTCTCTATCCCTCTCCCTTCCTCTCTGTAAAAAATCAATAAAATATATTTAAAAAAAAAAAAAGTCTCGCAGGTGAATAAATATAGCACAAACAGGGCCCGCGTGGATGGCTGCCGAACCATGCCAGGCAAACCCAAGTGCCCAGCCGCGCGTCTGGGTCTGTGCGGCCCCTCGCCCCCACCCACTAACCGGCAGCGGCATCTTTTTCTTGTTTCATTTATTGTCCTTGTTGGAAGTATTACAGATGTCCCCTTCCCCCCACATTGAGCCCCACCACCCTACCCCTGCCCCTCCCCGCCCCGGCCTACCACTGCACTATTTTATGTTTATTTAATTTTTTTCTTTATTAAGGTATTACACATGTGTCCTTATCCCCCTTATTGCTCCCCCCACCCCCCACTCATGTCCTCACCCCCCTGGTGTCTGTGTCCATTGGTTAGGCTTATATGCATGTATACAAGTCCTTTGGTTGATCTCTCCCCCTTTACCCCCACCGTCTCCTACCTTCCCTCTGAGGTTTGACGTCTGATCGAGGCCTCTTTATCTCTGGATCTGTTTTTGTTCATCAATTTATGTTATTCATTATATTCCATAAATGAGTGAGATCATGTGATATTTATCTTTCTCCAACTGACTTATTTCACTTAGCATAACGCTCTCCAGTTCCATCCATGCTGTTGCAAATGGTAAAAGTTCCTTCTTTTTTATAGCAGCATAGTATTCCATTGTGTTCCTTTTTCTTCACTTCCTTGCCAGCACTTGTCATTTGTTGATTTTTTGATGATGGCCATTCTCACAGGTGTGAGATGGCACCTCATTGTTGTGTTGATTTGCATCTCTCAGATGATTAGTGACTTTGAGCATGTTTTCATATGTCTCTTGGCATTCTGAATGTCTTCTTTTGAAAGGTGTCTATTTAGGTCCTTTGCCCCTTTTTTGATTGGATTGTTTATCTTTCTTCTGTTAAGTTGTATGAGTTCCCTGTAAATGTTGGAGATTAAACCTTTATCGGTGATAACATTGGCAAATATGTTCTCCCATGCAGTGGGCTTTCTTCTTGTTTTGTTGATGGTTTCTTTTGCTGTGCAGAAACTTTTTATTTTGATGTAGTCCCATTTGTTTATTTTCTCCTTAGTCTCCATTGTCCTAGGAGCTGTATCGATGAAGATATCGCTTCGGCATATGTCTGAGATTTTGCTGCCCATGGATTCCTCTAATATTAAACATAAGACAGGAAACCACCGCACTATTTTAAACACATAATTCCTATGCTGACAGTTACGTTTAGAGTTAAACGTTCCTCACTGCACTTTATAATGTATTTTGCTATGTGTACTTAGGAACTAGACAATGACTAAACTGTTTTTCTCTTTGACCTTCACTACTGTCGACTCAAAACAGTTTGGTCCGTTTTTGTGTCATTTGAGAACACTGTAAACATCCCAGAGCGGCAGCGGCGTCTTTGACTGTGAAGGACCGCGAGGCCGCATGTTTGCTCAGACCTGCAGGGATGTGTACCTATTTGTTAACTAGGCAAAGGCCAGATGGTGACCTGGTAAATGCAGAAAACTGTTAAAAGCCTTTCCAAATAATAGACTCTCTTTGAGAGCCACCAATTAGCAACATAATTGTTTTGTGATTATAAAGGTAAGAAAACTTTCATTCGGTGGTAAGACATGGCTGAACAACTAAATCCCCTCTGGGCAGCGATTAGCTCCACCTAAGGTACTGCAGGGGCTCCTACCAGACTAATCCTTAATAATTCTCCACATTAGGGCAATATCGGGCACGTGTCCTAAGGGAGCGTTAACATAAAAGTTAACAATTCCACTTGTTTGTTAAGGAGCTCAGCTTCCAGAATTACGTACGCATAAACTCAGCAATCATTGGAGTAGATTTGGGGGATATATCAGACGGCACCCTGCTTATCCGCAGTGTTGCATCCTCCCGTTGGTAGTCCTCCTACAGATTCGGGAGGAAAGCAGGGAGCTCTGCTTAGCTACTAATGCGCCATCACAGGCCCGGGTGTGATGGGATTTGTGGGCGAGAAGGCAGGAGACATCGCGTTTGCAAGGCTGTGAATTCTGTCTGCCTGTGAGCATGGCGGTCGGTCGGGCTCTGCGCGGCCATGATTTTTCCCACAGGAAGCTGTTAGGTCATCCCGGCTTTGGGGCTCCCGCCAGCACCTCTTGCCCATGAGGCTGGCCCTCCTCTGAGTGTCATGGTGCTCATGTCCACACTAACTGAAGCACTTAGGGTTATTTTTTGGGGGGAAACTGGGGTTCTGACATGGTCTTTTCCTCATCAGGACTTTTTGCTTTTGTCCCTGTGTATGACAGAGATTAAAACTTGATTTCCGGTGAGAGGAAAGTTGCTCGTGCCTCGATGCTGTGATCACGCTCCAGCACTTGGCTCTTTTGTTAAATGCCCCAAAATAGGCAGAAACCAAGCTCTGTTTGCTGGTGTCCAGAAACGGGGTGCCAGGTGCCTCACGTCCTGCTGTGTGGTGAACGGGCTGTTGAGGAGCGAAGAATTGGGTGCATGGACAGCAGTCTTGCTTTCTCCCCTTTCCTGTATGTCTCACACAGGCTCAATAAGCACTCATAGGCATTCCTTCCACACAGGAAAGAAAAAATCCAAGTTCAAAACGTTTAAGAAGCTCTTCGGGAAGAAGAAGAGAAAGGAATCGCCTTCCTCCGCAGGAGGCAGCGCCTGGAAGCAGAGTCAGGTGAAGAGTGAGGTCATTGCCATCGAGGCAGGGCCAGTGGGCTACGACTCGGAGGATGAGCTCGAGTAAGTTCCTTTCACGGCCTTCAGGATCCTGAATGCCCTGTGTCGTTGTCATGGTAACCTGCTGGGTTTCTGAGCCTGCTTTCTTCCTAGGTAGTTCCACAGCAGATTCTCCCACAGAAGTTGTGCTTTCTGTCTTTTCGTACACGGAGAAAGTTGGGGGGAATCCTCAGGTACCTGCTGTGTGCCAGGTGCTGCATATATTAAAATTCTGCGATAACTGGGACAGGAGGGGAGATGTACCATTTTATCAATGAGCAAACCACGCTTTAGCAAAATGTTGGAGAACTTGCCCGATATGCTACAGCTGAACGTGGCAGGATTGGGATATGAGCTGATTTAATTTGACCTAAAATTCTTTTGAGGACCTGGATGCTAAACCAGGTAGTACATCTCTTTAAGCTTGAACTTTGAGTCATCTAATAAGAAAGTTTTGAGAGAGCGAAACAGAGACAGGAGGGGAGATGTACCATTTTATCAATGAGCAAACCACGCTTTAGCAAAATGTTGGAGAACTTGCCCGATATGCTACAGCTGAACGTGGCAGGATTGATATGAGCTGATTTAATTTGACCTAGAATTCTTTTGAGGACCTGGATGCTAAACCAGGTAGTACATCTCTTTAAGCTTGAACTTTGAGTCATCTAATAAGAAAGTTTTGAGAGAGCGAAACAGAGACAAGAGAGAAGCAGGTCGGGGGGTGGGGGGATGCTTTTTGCTGTTTTATCTTAGAAAAATCATCCACAAATATTGTGAGGCAGAACAGACTCAATAGGTAGGACAATTTGGGGAAGTCTACTTATTTTCATAACTTGCATTTCACCAAAATATAATTGTAATATATATGCTCAGTTATTCCAGCAGCTATATCTGTGAGTAAAAAGTGGGGGAAAACACACAGATTTGTTGCCACACCAACTTTTATGTTTTCTTTTAAACAACATTGGCCCTTACCTTGAAGGTAAAACTCTTCAGAGGCATAATGACCCTCGGGGTCAGAGAACAGCCCACCCTGAGATGGGGTCGCTGTCAGCACCCAGGGATGTGTCCTGCCTTCCCTCCTTCTCACCAGCCTCCTCGCCAGGGTTTAACAGAGTGGAAATTACACTGACCACTTGGTGGCACCAAATGACTGAAGAGGAAAGGCTGGAGGCTTTTCCGGTTGGCTTTTTTGTTCGCTTCTTAGCATGCTTGCCACGCCCCGGCTTGGGGAGCAGCCTGGGAGTGTCCCCCTCTTTCCTCCCCCCCACCCCCCAGCCATGGAACAGCACCAGAGCAGGAGGGGCAAGCAGGGGTGAAATAACCTGTCCACTTGTCCATCTCCTCTGTCACTGGAGCCCATGGGAAGGTGGGGACTGCGCCCTTTTCACCTTTATATGCCCAGTACCTAGCAGGGTCCTCACTTACTCGTAATAGTTTGCTGGATTGATGCAAGGAAAGGAAGCCCGAGGGTGGGCTCTGTGAGGCTCTGGAAGTGCAGATAATGTTTTCAGAGAGCAGCGTGGAGGACAGGCAAGATCTTAAAGGCTTTTAGCCAATGCAAGCGTCGGCGTGTCTCCTGGCCCTGAGCAACCTCTCACCGTCACCTTGGCCAGAGGATTCCACCTGCCAAGACACACTGATGCTGGCAAAGTCCGTGGGGCCCTGTGGGTTTGAGAAGCTGATGCCCGTTTATTGTGTGGTTTTGCCTCTTAAGTCTCTTCATCTGTAGCAACCCTCAACCCCCTTGGTTTCAGGTCACTGACCTGCGGGAAGAGCAGGGCCGATGGCTCTGCAGAACATCCCACGTTCTGGCTTTGCTTCCTCTTGGCGTGACCGGACTCACTCCTGTAGTCTCTGGAGCTCTTGGGAAGTGTTAGGCAGAGCTAGATATGGATGAGATCGAGGCGGAACTGGGTACTTGCTGTCACTTCACAGGCACATGCTTTCTGGTTGTCCCATTGCCAGTGACTAAGACAGCAGTGGGTGCAGCGGGTTCTCAGTGCGAGTCCTCCACTCATCTTCACCGAATGGCCTTAACACCCACTGAGGGTCATGGCCTAGACCAGTGGTCAGCAAACTGCAGCTCACGAGCCACCTGCGGCTCTTTGGCCCCTTGAGTGTGGCTCTTCCTAAGCCTTAGGAGCACCCTAATTAAGTTAATAACAATGTACCTACCTGTATAGTTTAAGTTTAAAAAATTTGGCTCTCAAAAGAAATTTCAGTTGTTGTACTGTTGATATTTGGCTCTGTTGACTAATGAGTTTGCCGACCACTGGCCTAGACTCATCATTTCATTGCAAAATGGTGGTTTTTCTAATTGTGCCATTTATTCTGCATGAGCCAGCTGGAATCCTATCCAATAAAAGAGAAACATGGTAATTAGCGTACATCCGCTACCCTTTCCATTGGCTAATCAGCAAGATATGAAAATTAATTGCCAG